TGAAGTCACATATTATAGTCACACGGTGCTCTCTTTCGACGTGTTTATCGAGCATGAAACGTCACATCGTATCAACAGATATCAGACAAGGGTCACGATTATATTCGCAACTCAATAATCCTCTATATTTTCTTCGTGTATATTTTTACTCATCTACAACGAAAACAGCTTCTACCTTATTTTTATTTGCTGTCGACTATAAGAAGTCACACAAAATTGTTTTATACCGTTCTTATATTTTTATTCTATTATTTTTATCTTTCAATCCTCTTTTTTTCTTATACTGGTATTCGGGTCCTTTTCAGGTCGCAACCAAGTATGCAATTGAAGATTGTGAAAGCCGCCACCGTTGCTACATTTTATAACGCTTTGACGTTGATCGATAATTTACATACAATGTATACTATAAAACAGAGGAACTTGTAAATCTGAAGGATACCGTTTTGTTTACTGTCGTTCTTTTTTTTTTTTTTACCGCTAGAACCTCTTTTTTACTTTCCCGCTTTCTCGTTTTCAGCTGTTTTCCTGCATCTTTTTATGTAAGTGAATAGTGTGCATACGTAGGTACTATGATATCTGTGGTATGGAGAAGGTCGTTAATTTAAACTGCTCTCTCTAATGTCTGCAACTACAGTCTTCTACAAAAAAAATTACTGGTTTTATTTTTTCACTCACTCGATTGACTGTGAAAATAATCATTTTGTAATTGGTAAATTCGAAACCCTAAAAATAGAGTTAAGCATTAATTAGTTTATTAGTTAACAATATTTACACTAGAGGTGTTTACTATGTATTTTTTCCACTTATTTCGATACATAAACATTATTATTATCTTTTTTTACACAGTATAAATCGTAAAAAACATGTTTTATATAGATATAACTATCGTTGAAACAATCCATTTTCCCCTAACTACAATTACAGGATTAAATTTATGACTTTTCTGCCGGCGAAATTTCACACTCGCCCGTGGAGATTTCCCAGTTGTGAACAATTTTCAAATGAGTTGTTTCGGTTGAAAAATATATTTGGTAGCTTTATATTTATCATTTTTGCTGGATGCTAAATGACCAGCAACCATCATGGGTATATTTAACGTGTAGACTTTTGTAAAATTAATGTATTATTGTCTGCGTTTTGTGTTAGAATCCGTAGCCTGTACAGCTGCTGAGTGATCTAAGTGCACAAAATGTTTTGAAAAATACAAGAGCTTAATCTTAAGAGAAAATGCAATAAAAAATGCTGTCAAAGTGATATACGAAGCGAAACACCTGAGTTTCTGTATTCAATAATTTACTTTAAAGTCTTAAAATAATACTCGAAAAATTTATCGTAGCTTATAAAAAATTTGTTAAAATATATAAATATAATAGTTGACAACTTAAATTGTGTGTTATGTTGTAGGAAATATACAAATATTAGCTTAGTTACTGTTTAAATATTTTGATTCAAATTTCACTATTATATCTTTTATAAAATACATTAAATTTTCTGCTTAATAATCATAGACAAAATTAATTTTTGTTTTTATTGTCTAAGTAATAATGTTAATACCAATTAAAATTTAAACTGTTCTATGAAGGATTACTACTGACTTATCGATAACAATCTAATCGGAATCAGTAACAATTTTAATTGCTATGACATGAGTAGCGATTAAAATTACTTTTTGTTCTATTAAGTTAACTATGTGTTACCTACTCCTTATTAACTAATTAATTGATTTAAATATATCAGTAAATATGTGAATGTATATTACACATGCACATCTATATACATTGTATATAGATATTAATTTAAAAATTCCATTTCATTCGTGAATCAGCATCATAGGGACTTGTATAGATTGAAATCTAGTAGTGATTAACATCACTAGAGCGCAAATTTATATGAATATATAAATTTTGTTTAAGCAACATTAAAGATTTACAAGATTTTACTACTTTGTGGTAGGATTATAAAGCGTGATTTATTAAGCATGATAGATACCATTTTATGTATGGATTAAAATTTAATTTATTTTTATAAAATATTATAAATATTAAGTTTATTAAAAAAATGATTTTAAATATAGATTTTAGGAGTAGCCATTTAATTTTCGAAAGTTAAATAGCAATCTATTATTATTTTTTTACTATTAAATGGAGAATGGTCTAAATAAAATATTGACAAGTCGATAACTAGTATTGTAATATTAATTTTTGAGTTTTTATAATTTTTAGTTATAAGCAAGCGGAGTACGCAACTTAGAAGAATTTTTATATGTGCGTTACCATAAAATGTGACACTCTAAACACTACCTTGCCTTTTTTAAATATTAAAATGCTTTTATCTTATAAAGTAATAATACAAAACTAGTTATCAGCTAGTCAACACTTTATTGACACTATTTTTTATTCAATAGTAAAAAAATAATAATAATTTTCCATTTAACTTTTAAAAGTTACCTCTAAAATCTCCTTGGAAATATTTTTTTTTCTATAAATAAACTTAATATTTACTATGGCCTAAAAAATAAATAAGATTTTAATCTATACAATTTTATGAAAATATAGAGGGTAGTATGCTTAATTAATCATTCTGTATAATAGCGGAGAATGATTTTTTATTTAGTGTGTGTAAACCTCCTATTCCCCTTAATATAACCTTGATACCGATATATTACTAATTCTTAAAGTTAATTAATAAAAATTTGTACTTGTCAATGGTGTGTGTTCCGAATAACCTTACAGAACTTATAAATGCACAAAATTCCACGCCCTAAACATCACTACCATACAGCTCAATATCATTAATTTAAACACAATTTTTGATATTTTTATGCACCGTTGAGCAAAATCGGTCCACTGAGAGCTAAGTATTTGGGGTAACAGACATAAAAAAAACACATAATAAAATTAATATTTTCTCAACTTCACGCCCAAGCAAAAATTATCTATTAAAGATAAACTTAGTTTGATAGCTATGTATAAAGATAATATGTCAAAGATTGTGATACGTTAAAAATTAGTCATGGTTTTGTTTAGACAATTTCTGAGGTTGAGATTTTAGCATAACGTCACATTGTCAAGTTTGTTGTTTATGTGTATGAGAATATTACATAATGCAAGAAATCGAACTTGGATTCGATATCTTATGGTTAAACTCTAGGGAACGTGTAAATGTCACAAGGGTGACATAAAAAAAAATGGAATACAATTTACGATTTTTCTCTGAGTATTGTACTAGTATATACACGTTATGTACTTTTAGGTATGGAACTTTAGACGTTCCGGAACTGGGAATATGTGGGTCAACTCGAAACTTAACCCTGGCAATAGTCGCTGTAGTAGTCATGTAGTTTTGTTTTTTCCTTTGAGTATGATCGTAGTGGTTGGTTGCGTATATTGTGCGACATTCTCTGACTCTATATGATTACCCTTGGACACTTATTCTCCGTATTATTACACGCCCTTTGACCAATACCGCAATTCGTTAAATATCCGATTTCTCGAAACCAATATCTGAATGTCAAGTATTGTTGTGCAAGAGATGGGTTCCTCATAAAATTACATGACTCTTTTTAACGGCTGACCACATGTGTTTATTGACAAAATGGCTCAGTACAACTAGCATTTTAAGCTTTTTTATTATAGTAATATAATACTCGATTAAGAAGAATTGCTCAAGTCAAAATAATACATTATGATTTTATGCATTTAGTTGAACTTTTTTAACTGATTTCCATAATTTTAAACTCTTGATAACTATGTACATTAGATAATAGCATCAATCTCTTCATCACACAGCTCAGATAAAATTTACTAACAATGAGTTCCTATTAAGTACTAAAATATGCCAAGGTGATATTAAAAATAGATACTGTACAATTAAAACAACCAACTTATCAGAAATTAATTAATTGACAGAAAATAATTTTCATCACTTCAAGCGATATGAGGGATTTTAATTTCTTCGTTTTTTAAAACGTAGTTACATAATTCTTTAAAATAATAATTTTATGAATCATACAGATTTTCTTTTTATAAAATAGAGATTTATTTAAATAAATTGATTTTAAATTCAGTATTTTACATTGGTATTTTGCCTCAATAATTACTTCAACGACCTTAGATTCTAGTAAATTTGTTTTTTACTCTTCTAAGGTTAATCTAGAAACTGATAATCCTGCGCTTACTAAACATTAGTTATATAAATTTACTATAAATTTATAGAAGACAGAATGAATTAAAAAAATTCTTTAAATCGCTTGCGTAATACTTATTTTTTACTATTAATATAAAGATAACCGCAAAGTCAATCTGGTGTGATTATTTAAACTAGGTGAGTAATAGCTGCACTCAATAATTAATAAATCAGACTTTTAATTTATTAATAATTTTACTAAACATTTTATATGAAAACAAAATGTATTTTAGCATATGAAAAAACGAGATCGTTCACTTATAAGTAACTCAGTCGAATAAAATATATTACAAATAGCTGTGTACCTAAACAGGATCCATTAATAACCAGAATTTTCAGGTTGCCTTAAATATACTTCGACTAACGAGTAAACCTGATGTACTTTTATAATAAGAATCATTACTATTATATTTTAATTGATATAAAATAATTTTAAGCCAAACATTTTAACTAAATATAAACATTATTATATATGCTTCTTAAACGGTAAACTTAGTAATTTTAAACATAAATGCATTATTTTAATTAAATTTGTTTACAATTATATTAATTGATTTTAGGAGTAAATATATATTAATTAAACTTTAATGGAATGAAAATATGTAAATAATATGTTTTCTTAAAAGATTCGTATATTATTGTTAAGTTTGCATTTTTCGTAAAAACACATTTCATTATCAAAATTTCTTTACATGTAAAAAAATCGTAAAAAACAAACATGGGTCTCTTTGAGTGTTGAGCCACAGGTGCGTAAACAAAAATCGAATAAACCAAATCATTTGAGCGTCGAATGTGTTTCGCAACTTTGTGTCGTTTTATATTGTGCTTTTTTCACGCTTGGATTTTTACAAAATAAGTTTAGTTAGATGAAAAAAATGTTCTTACATAACGAACCAACTCCTTTCTTGAATAGTTTCAACTATTGGACGAAACGTCGTAAAAAAGAAGTAGTAGCATACGTTCATACATATATTGTTTATTACGTTTTACTATCGACGTTTAATGTTGCAAACAAGGAAAACCAATCAAAATCTCAAGAGTAATAAGGACCAGGATGGCTGATACACTAAAAAATGAAGGTTCTTCGAAAAATAATTGCGGCGAGAAACTTCATCCAATATAAAGGAAGAAAATCCTGCAACTACTGAGTTTGAACTTAAAAATAATAAAATATTTTATTAACGGACATCGATTTCTATGAGAAACATTCTTATTGCAGGTGACCTGTCATGTTTTCACGGCCACTGTTTTCGCATCCTAAACATCATTCGATGACTTCGCTATTTCTCTCTTACTATCCATGCAAAAAACTGAATACATATTACAGATATGATATGTCAGAGACCTCACATTATTCTATGCGTTACACTTTCACTTTGTAACCTTATAGATCACGTTTATCTTTGATAATTATCTTCTCAGAGATATTGATAGGCCAAAGCTTCTTTATATGTTGTCATAAACTTTAATCATATACCACATTATGAATGATGATATATATATCCGTACCTTAAAGTATATTTTATTGAATAACAAATCTGAAAAGCGCATATGTAAATAAATATAAAAATAGCTGCCGGCCAATATCGATTTATCTTCTTTCATTATACAGTCAATGTATACACAATAATCATCATTTGGGGCGGATCATATTATACTCATTAGTTTAAATTATGTTGTGCGATTTTTTCCTCTTCACAAGTTATAATAAAAAAAAAGAAACTAGTTATTAATGAAATAAACTAGCGCATATTTAATTCGGCGCAGTGAATACAATAACATACTCTCTACAGTGGAGAATAATAATTACCACGACCGAAAAATGATACACTGAAAATTATTTTATGAACATTAGTATCAAATAAAGGTATTATTACTTTCTAAATTATATATGTATAAATATGTTAATGTATTTTTGGCACACGTGTTATTACCGACATTAGTAAAACATAAATCCACAAACATTAGCTTTAAATTTGGTGATAAATTTAATATTAGGACGAGTTTTTCCTCGAGTAAAAGTTGTAATGCATTATTTGACAGATAGAAAATCGAAACTGAGTCATAAATAGAGTCTGTTCTGCAGAGACATATGAATACACATAACACAATTTTTAACATTTCACTCAAAAAATAAAAAATTTCTTAACATTTTTTTATTTCTATTATTTCTATATTTCTATATACAGTGTCTCGGACTTAATTAAAAACGCAAATAACCATTAGTACAATTATTATTTTGTTGAAATTTTTTATTAAATAATTATTGCTTTTTTACACTATGTTTGAAACACATTTTTTTATTATTTTTCATTAATAAGTAAACAAAAAAAAAAAGTTTTTTTAAATTTTCAAAATGTCTTGTAACTTAATAAATATTTTTACTAGAATTATTATCGATACTCTAAAGTTTTAGACTAAACTGCACTTTAAAGTTTATGATTAATCATACAATGTGCGAAATACATTAATTTTTACCAGAGATTTTTTAATAATTTTTAAGACAGTTAAATTATTGTAAGGTATAAAATCTTTATAGGGGAATATTTTTTGAATTCGAAACACTTTCAATAATGAGGTTTACAATTTTTATTGTTTGACAAATATATATTGTCATGCGCGTCGTGGCACACTACCGTCACGACGTTAGTGTACGAATTTAAATACACCACAAGATTTTTTTTATTACTTGATCTAGAAAATTTGATACGCATTTACTATAAATTTATTTACGAGTTCTATAGAAAGATGAGAACTATTGTAAAATGATTTTTTTAGGTTTCATTTTTTATATATATATATATTTCCAAACCATAAACACAAATATAAAATTGTTACCCCATTGAATTTCATAGAATTGTGCAATAAAAACGAAATGAACGATTACTTTTGTTGATATCAGTAATAGAACTTATTAAGCATAAATACCTACGTTCTGAGTTATTATTGCTCTTTCATTGATCAGAGTAAGAGTGATTAAAAAATTATTTTTATTCATTTTTAATGGTGATTATTTCAATAAATATATTCCAGTCTCAAACAATTATATTTCGTGATTTGAACTTAATAGTTCTGAGTGGCACAATTATTTGCATATTTATGATCAAGACATGCCGATTGACTTTGTAGAGGTCATTAGTTAAGGTTTATCATAAGACCGATGGTAACGAAAAGAATGTGTCTACAATCGAACACGTGTCTCACTTGTATAAGCACATCTAGTAGACACGAAACCGCAATATATGATACGGAATAACGTTTTATTTCCCATCGTCTAATATCGCCGTATGTGGCTTTCCTTATACAATATAATAACATTAAACTCGTAATAATATATATTGTTTGTGGATGTTACTACGTGGAAGTACATACGGCCCAACGGTAACCTGGTCTGGTTTCACTCGGCGTCAACACTTGCTGCTTCCTCGCGTACATATGCAGTCGTGTGCACTGCACCGGCCGCACATGAACAGCTTTTGACTTATATATTGTGTATACAGCCGAGTTACATGCTCGGTGACCATAATAACAATAATAATACTGGTGAATCATACAAGTGTCAACAACTCGCTGGTTTACATGATCTGAAATTACCAATCGGACATCTGTGCGGTCTGACCGATCGCTTACTTTGGAGAAACAAACTGACAGATGACAATTCGAGGAGTGTAGGATTCAAATGTTTTCCCTACGCTAATCAATTATCGCCGCTTGAACAACCGACTTACCGTTGTCGCATTGAACAAACGATTTTACGTGACGTTTACACGTACTTTGGTGTTTTTCCGCTGCCTAGATGTGAAAGGCTGATTTAGGTCGACGCATGTTCTTTTTTTGATTTCAAAATAGTACATTATAAAAGGTTCCAAGGAATAAAAAACTAAAATCGTACTTTTTAACGATGTATCTACAACATTGTAAGAAAATACTACACTTTCTTAACTCCTACATCTATCGCAAGATTTTTTAACTACAGTTAAAAGTCATAAAATAGTAGTAATTACATATCGTTAACAAATTAGGTGAAACAGTATTAGCAGTGTTGCTGCCCTTTGTAAAAGAATGTCTTGCCATTTCAATGCTGGATAACCATAATGATAACTTCGATAATTGAGTAAAGGTAATCCATCGAAAATTGATTTTTAGAAAGCAAGAGCAAACAAAACTAGTTAGACTGTTTTAGTCTAAGGTTTTAGCTCCCATGGTTCTATTGTCCAATCAACAACGCTTTCACGGGTTGAATGTTTCTCTACAATATTCTTCATGATTTTATGTGTTTTTTTTTTGCACTTTCATACGTTGGATGAGTGCTGGGTCATTGGGAGCAATAACAGCGGCAAACAGTATTTCGTGACGGATTTCCATACAGCATAACTTTCAATAGAGTGTAATGGATAGGATCTAAAACAATGTAAACAATAATAATAATTACTGGCATATCGTCTAAGCAGCATTCATGTCACCTAATCGGTTATCATTTAGTAAAAAGTAAAATAGTCATAGTTGTTTCCAGTTAAATAAAAGTGATGCGCAATAGTTTAATGAAGTGAATATAAAACTGATATATTAAGATAAAATCATTTAGTTCTTCAAAAAATGACTCTAATATATGTTCAGTTATATGTTATTAATAGTGTTAAGAAACGTTAAAAAAAAAACCAAGTGATTTGGCAGGGTAATGTAGACACTGTTAGTAGAACAGAATAAAAACTCGTAGTGTATCCGATTATTGCATTAAAATCTCATTTTCTAAATGAACTCTTTGAAATAATAATAAGACTAATCAATATTAATACAAACAATTTAACGTTACATGTTTCTCAGTAAAATATTGTGCATGTGCAATAAATTAATGTGAATAAAACTACATTCGACTGAAAAGTAAATATTTAATGTTACTAAAACAACAAAATGAAATGAAAGAGAAAACTATTAATTTTTAACGCTTAACTTATTATATATTGACAGTGGACATTTTTATCTGACATAAACTGATAAATTTTAAGTCAATTCTCTATACGGTAAGCTAAGAAAAATATATTAATAATTAAACTTTCTGTTTTAGGTCTGAACCAGCATGAGAATAGCGACCTCATGGATCGTCATGTCTCTACTGACCGCTATATTCGAATCGTCTCAAGGTCATGATCATTATAAAGCACTTAATAACAGTAAGTTTAGACCAAGATGATACAAGAGCTATATTAGACTAATCTATTTAGTATAGTTTCTTACCAGTAATTAGAAAAAAATTAAACATACATCATAAGTTTTAATACTGGTTTAAAGCTTAGATTTACTCGTTTTATTTTTTTAGCTAATACAGCTTGATCGATTATGTTAGCAAAATATGTATACTTTGAAAAATCTAAAATATGAAAAAACAAAGCTAAATCTTTAGAAAAATCGAAATATTTTGCTTACAAAATGATTTCTTGTTGTTTAAATAATTAAAAGAAATGACAATAATTGAAGAAAAACTTGGTTTTATACATTTTATGATAATTGTGAAGCAACCTAAACTTTTGACCGGTACTGTATATAACATAATAAAAATACAGATGAATTTCCCTCATAATTTGGATATTTTAATCTAAATTTTCTTATTGTGAGAATTCATCACATGCAAATAAGAACAAAAGTTTTAAGACAATGATTTTCCGCTTAGTAATTCTTTGATTAAATCCGGTTTATTTTAAATCGTTTTGAAATGCTGTAGATAGTATTTTCCTTCGCAAGATAAAAGATATAAACAAAAGAAAAAGATAATTCACTGGGGGACTTATTATAAAATATTTTAATTATTGCATAATTAACATATTGTGTAGTAAATTTAAAATTGTCTTTTAAATAAAATTATTAAATGTTTTCTATGACGATTATAAAAATAAAAAATGCTTTCATTACAGTTTCATTGAGAGTAGTAACTGTTTACATAATTGTCTTCTATTTCGAGCGAGTTAATTATATATTTACTTTAAACTAGATTAATACATTTTTTTTCAAAGTATAAATTATTATACTTTTTATTAAGTAACATAACAAAAAAAATTCATCAGAATTTACCTTTCTTTATAAGTTTTAAGATTGATAAAAATCGAAATATTTATTCACAAATTACGAATCCGCAGTCAAATTTTTTTAATAAAACACTTTATTCTCCTATTTTCCTAATTGTTGGCATATGAAATATATATGTATTCCAACATAACCCTTTAGCAGGCGCGTGCCTATTTTTAACGATCATAGTCGTGTGGGGGTCTATCAGACCCCATTTCTAAAAAAATATAAATTATGTATAAAAAATTTCATTTTTTTTAATTCAAAGACATTATTTGTTTCCATATGATATATAAATATGGATAAAAATTAAAAAATAAATAAATTACAAAATTATACTACGAAAAAAAAAAACTTAATTTACAAAATTTCATTAAAAAATTTTGGTTTGTAAAAAAATTATTTTAACTGCAAAATTTTTAAGACGGTAAACAAAAGCTTTTACTATTACAAAATGTATTTTAATTAATTTTTCTTGTATTTATTTGAGCCCAAACACGGCTTATATTTATTAGTTTTATGTGTATTTACATTTATATAATCATTTTTCTGAATTGAATTTTTTTATTATTAATATTACAATACATTTAATTATTATGATACGAGTATATACAATTATTCTGAATCTGTTGAACATTGATTTTTTTCCCAAAAATCTTTGCATACTGTTTAATATACGCGATGTATTTATTACATGTTTTGTTCTTATTTGTTCCGTATCATCGAGTAGTGGAAATTCTCAATAGATTATTTATTTTCAAAACTTAATTGTACAATCGGTGGCAGATCCACATAATTCCAATTCCACAATATTATATCGATTATAACATTGCATTTACGATATAACGATATTTTGAAAAAAATACAAGTCCAGAAAAAAATTATAACGTTACAAGTCGCGTGGAGGTAAATATAACCCATTTCAATTTTGATGAATATTTTAAGTCATACATTTTTTTTTCGAAGGTATTTATTTGTGAAAATTGATTCAGTATTACTATAAAAACCATCTTCTAAAATTATATCTATGCACACCTTTTATGCAATATAATACATCCGTTTTTATTTATGTGGGGGTGTGCTAGACCCCCACGCGACTGTTTTAGGGTTAATGTTATTTTGTTTAAAGTTTTTTTGAATAAATCAGTAAGGTTTACTATTATAATATAACTAAAAATAATGTTGATACAAAAAAAAAAATAATTTCTAGAAACTTAAAAAATATTGATTTCTTATAACGAATATGAATCTAATTTTAGATTACAAGATCAATAAAAAACCATGTTTGGTCAACGGTCTGGAGGGTACATGTATGTTCGTTTACGAGTGTATCAACAGTAAAGGGCGACACATAGGGATGTGCGTAGATACTTTCATGTTCGGCAGCTGTTGTGCTCACAACCTTACCACATCTCAGTTGGCTATGCTACCTGATTCATCTGAACCAGCAGTTCTATTTACTCAGCCTGGGGTTAATAGTGTCTCACAAAAACCAGTGCGGCCCCATCACAGACCTCATAGGCCTTCACAGGTCATGATGCGACCAAACAATGTAGATTCAGATTCTGCGGCATCGGTGTCAGCTGTTGACAAAAAATATCATTATCATTCGTCATCTACACCTCAGCCTCATCTGTTAAATAGAATACCGTCAACTAATTTTATATCAAACAATCGACCCAACTTCATGTCCCGGCCGGCTGCTTTACCTAGCCAGCATATTATCACATCTACAGCTATCAGTACTACAAACACAAATAGTCAATCTCAACAAGTGGATGATAACGAAAACAAAGTAGATTCAAATTGGTCCCATAGGTGAGTTAATATATATATATGCCTATATTTCTATATTTGTTACAATAAATTGTATAGTTGTATAATTGAAGTAAATCCAAAGAAAAATTGAATTGAGATTCTTTCATTAATTTTAATAACATTAAATATCTTGTTATTATTTTGATAATTTATAGACCCAATTGGAATTCTAATTCTGGAAATCATCATAGTTTCATCACTAAACCAAAGCCTCAAACCCACCTAAAACCATACTATTCACATACTACGTCAACAACAACAACAACTACTACTACTTCTTCGACTACAACACCTAAACCTACCACAACAACTTCTACTACAACTACACTACCACTCCCGAGTACAACTGAAGTAACGTTATCAACGACCTCAAAACATGATGCGGTAGATACCATAACTGTTGTTTCTACAATTAAGCCAGAAAAACATACCGCTAAGCCGGGTGTATCGGCTGAAACTAATCAAAAATCAATACGTATGTTAACGAGTGATAATTATTAATCATCATACTTCAGTAATTGATCTAATGATAAATATTTTATGTTTAATAGCTTGTGGATCAGCACCCTTACATCCCAGACATGAAATTCGTATAGTAGGTGGCAGAAACGCTGCGTTTGGAAGTTGGCCTTGGCAGGTATGACAAGAAAGAAAAATTGTTTTTTATACTAAGCTACATAATTATATTTTAAAACGTTCTTTTATATTAGGTATCTGTAAGAAGAACATCATTCTTTGGATTTTCCAGTACTCATCGGTGCGGTGGAGCATTACTGAATGAAAATTGGATTGCTACGGCTGGACATTGTGTAGATGAGTTAGTATATCAAACCTTAATAATTAACAAAACTAAGATCAATGTTTAATTACCATAAGCAAAAAAAAAAAAATAAAACAAAACATTTACAGACATAAGCCTAAAATTAATTTTTACATCATAAAATTGTTTAAAGTAAAATACATATATTTTTAAATTATTTTTGGGGGTTCTAATAAATTTAATCTACATAAACACTTTTAACTCATATTTTATCAAGAAGATGTTTTCTTAATAAACTTTCAATGATATATATTTTCATTTAGATCTGACATTATTGCTTACAAAATACTACTATACTAGAAGAAGTATTTAGCATTTAAGTCTGAGATGTCATACCGACTTAGTTATGAATTTAAATATTAGACTAAATATAATTTAAAAAGCATACAGATAAGTTGTTTGGTATTAAAAGAATTATAGTAGCTATATTAATTAAAATATGATTATATTCTTCAAAAGCGTTCTAAAATGCATCTTGTATGTTAAAAAGAGTTCAACTGGTTCTTAAAAATCCATTTTTTACATTAAAAGGCTTTGGCCACCAACTAAAGATATTTGAATTAAATAAAAGAGATCATAATAAAATAAAAATAAAAAACACATTGTATCGAGCTTCTTCATCATAAATGAGTTTAACATTTCTTTAGAGTTTTCAATGTATATGTTCCATTTATATGCATAAATAAAATATAAATAATTTATGATTTAATTTTTAATATTTATTGAAACTCATTACAGTTTACTAACATCACAAATTCGCATAAGAGTTGGCGAGTATGATTTTTCATCCGAACATGAACCGTACAAGTTCGCAGAACGTGCTGTTGCTAAAAAGGTAGTCCACCCCAAGTATAACTTCTTCACGTACGAATATGATTTGGCCATGGTCCGTTTAGATTCTCCACTTCAATATGCACCACATATTGTTCCCATTTGCTTACCTGGTTCTGATGACTTACTTATCGGTGAGAATGCAACTGTAACGGGATGGGGACGACTTAGTGAAGGAGGCACTCTACCATCAGTATTACAAGAGGTAAGCTACATAGTAAATTAAGAACGATAGTTTTGTATGAATGACATGCATGAATAAATTATTGAATGACAATTTTAGGTAAACGTACCTATTGTTAGTAATGACAAGTGCAAAAGTATGTTTTTAAGGGCTGGAAGACATGAATATATACCAGAAATTTTCATGTGTGCTGGTTTTGATGATGGAGGTCGTGACTCATGTCAGGTTAGTAAAGTAAAAATTAATTAATATTCGTTGATTACAATAAGTTTTATTTGTAATTTAATTTTTTTTCATTATAATAAAAATGAACACGTTATTTATAGGGTGATTCGGGAGGACCATTACAAGTGAAGGGGAGGGATGGCCGATATTTTTTAGCTGGTATAATAAGTTGGGGCATCGGATGTGCAGAAGCTAATTTGCCGGGTGTATGTACTAGGATATCCAAATTTGTGCCTTGGATACTAGAGACTGTTACGTAGTTAGGGATTTTTTTCTATAGAAAACTTCTACAAAGTTTAACTATCTTAGTCTATTAAAATTATGTTGTACAAATTATACGAAATACCGAATCGGTAAATGTGTTTATAAATTTTATAATTTGTAAATTAAATTTTAAAGTATATATTTTATACAATTTATAAATATAATCAATTGTACATAAATTATATATTAAGCATTCATATGTTAAAAATTTTGTAATACAAAGAATAACTAAACTATTGTTTATTAAGCACAACTTGCAACAAACCTTTATTTCGTATGTAAAAAAATATTACATATACTTACTATATATGTAATTCAAAAATCAAATTCTATTGATTTTTACCCTATAATTCTCTTTTGGATATTTATAGTAGATTCCAAAAAAATATTAATATTTAAAATTAGATATTTAATTACTTTAGAAAAATAAAAATAAAATGTTATCAGTTTATATAATATTATTTGAATTTTTATTTTCATTTATAAAATGACATAATATAGAGAAACAGATTTATTTAAAAAAATATGTAAAAATACTAGTGGATAAACTGGTAACTAAGGTTATTGAAATATTAACTGTAGTTCACTTTATAGATTACTGGAATCAAAGATAAATATTTTTTCATTTCAGACCCACGAATTTTATGATTAAATATATTTCACATGAAAATTATCTAGTACAAAATAATTGTCCATTTAAATTATTTAAAAGAGTACCTATATGTAAAATAAGAACATCACAAGGATGCATATGCAGTATGATGATTGCCAGCCAATATTTCTCAAAATAATAATAATTTAATTTTTTTTTTGGATTATTTTAATTACACATAATTCCACATTTATTCATGTAATAAATGTATTCATTCACATGTTTTTATTAAATATAATTTGAAAAAATATATATGTTTAATAAAGTTTAACATACTATTGTTTTTTTAGCTAAATATGTATTATTATTATTATTATTATTACTATAAATGGAATTTTCAAAGTGCCGATAAAAATATATTTTTCAATAACTAAAAAAATATGTTTCTATTTGAAAAAAAAGTCGATACCCTCATAAGCCATGAGGTTTAGATCTAAAAATTACCTAATAGTGAATATATGTTAAATTATATGTAACTAGAAAATCAAAAATAATAAATAAAAATTATTATTTTATGAAATATTAACTGGCTAATGTTAATAGAATCACCTTCATTTGTAATTTTTCGTCCAATGAATAAATATTATAAAAAAAACTACACTAAGATTTATAGGCTATTTAATTGTCACTGTCAACAATTTGGTATATGAAAACTATCAAGAAGTGTTATCTAGTCGATTAAATTTTTGTAAGTAATATTTAAAAGTAAGATAGTAGTGGCGTCAGAACTTTTCTTAAACTGTGGTGGGCCAAGTTGAGGTAATATTTATTGGTACCATTTTACAGTAACAACATGGCATCAGTAGTACTTGACAACTATTGAGAAAATCATATTCACATATAAATCTATACATTTTGATAGACTTGGGCAAATTGTAATCAACTGATGACATCATCACTGAGAATGATAAATTCTATCCAACTTCTGTATAATTATAATTTTTACTAAAAATGAAAAGACTAAATTTTATACTACAATTAAAATATTTTAAGTATTAAAATTTTCGAAGGGGTTTTAAAAGTCTATTATATTTATCATTCAACTTAATAGAAAAATTTATCTTCATTTTTACGTTTATATAGCATATATTTTACATTACAATTACTACATACAAAGTTTTTCCTTTTTATTTTAAATACTAATTAGTTTACAAAGTAAGCGATGTAAACTATCGTTTATTTTTGCTTTTATCAACAATATACTGATATTGCTATAATCATTTCATATGCTATGTAATTTTAATATTTAAGTAATATTATTATACTTATTAACAATTTTTTTTTTTTTGAAATTCTCTTTTATTTTAATTTATCAAACCAACCTTAGGGGGGATTAATTTTTTTCTAAATGATTTAATATTTTTTAGAAATGTTTTGTTAATATATTAACGTAGCAGTAATAAAATTATTTAATATGTAGACAATAAATTAATAAAAATACGCGAAAGTTATATGTTGTTTTGTATAATATTAATATTTGAAATCCTATTAAATAATAAAGAGATATTTATTATAACTAAAGAACGGTTTTATAAATTTTGTTAAGTTATTGCAAACATATCATCAGCCAGTACAAATTTGCATTAATATAACAGAAAACTTAGTAGTGTGATCTAACTAGAGTTACATTTTTGTGAGGAATAAACGGTTTATTTATATTAAAACGAAAAATATTTCTATGCTACTGTATCGCAATAAATAATTTGCATAAACTTAGGTCCTTTTTAAATTTCTCAAACAAAATTTATAAATACATATAAATCTGCTCTCTAATTATAACTTGTTTAACGATATTAACGAGACAGAAGGTCAGTTTATAAGATATTCACTAGTCATAATCATAATTTACACTTCTGCGTTTTGTTTAATTATATAATTTCCATAAGCGATGCGCCAGTGGTTGTGATGGTGGTGGTTGGTCACCCTTTAAACAACGCGGTACAAGCTCAACAGTCATTTCGTGACCGGCGTGCTGACGAGACGTTCGCTACTAAAAAGGCGGTTTAGGTATTGTTTTATGACGTAAAAGCGTTGTTCTTGTATGTCAGGAAAAATATTTTTTCCGCGGATTTATTGTTTTTACTCATTTTTTAATATGTTTATTATTTCTGGGTGACATAAGATTTAATAGAAAATGCGGGTAATAAATATTATAATAGTCACTTTTATTCTAGCTAGTTTTTTACCTTTATTATTTATTCATGCACTATGCTTACAATCAACTCGAGATATTCAAGATCAGACACGTGCTTCTGAAGTCGTGATTAAAGCACTAGCAATGAATGTATGGCTTGAACGTGATGGTTTATTCAGTGGTCATTTTGCTATTATGACAGTCTACAAAGGCGCAAAAATCATCAAAGATATGTTGCATATTGCTGGGAGTGATTTGTTCAACATTAGCGACAAGTGAGCTTTATTTTTAATTTTTATCTTAACATTTTGAAGTAGAACACTTGTTAAATATCTCTTTCAAAAATTGTTTATTACAAACTAACGCATGTTTACAATAAACAAATCCGTTAATGTTCTGACATAAAAGAACATAGTAAAAAATATATGATTTCATATATTTTTTTTTTTTATTAAATCAATGAATTTTTCTAAGCAATTTTATCATGACTCATTTACAATAATTTACGAACAAAATTTCATAAAAAAAGTGTTTAAGAGAAGAATTAATTTCTAAGTTAAGCTCGAGTTTATCGATACATAAAAATTATGTTCATTAGGTAAGATCATATTTAATATTATATGAATTGTAGTAATTATATTCGTAAAACTTACCGCACGCGTTTATTGATTGTATAGGGCAACATATAACAGACAAATTTTTATTGTTAATAATTTTTATATGATTTCCATGTATGGAATTTTGAAGTTTAATTTTAAATCTGGTATCAGATATTTTCTATCACATCTAGTTCTTGTAGTAATTAGAAATTAAGCAATAACTACACTGTAAAATCATTTAAAAAATATAAAAACAATATTTTTTTTTAACTTTCCTTAAATGATATTTAATAAGAGTTAAGCAAAATTTATTCCATCAAATTTAAATGATTTTATATATTTTTTTTAATTTGAGTTTGAGTGTTATTTTAACAAAAATCAGACACAGTGGGGATACTGCGCAACCATTTTTCATGACTTTGGATACTTACAAATTTACTACTAAATAATGAGTGGTGTATGTATTATAACAAATTTCGGAATGATTATCTATGAGCATACTTACCACGATTCTTACTTTTTCAATTTAATATAAAAATTATATTTTAAATATTTACTATTAAAATATTGAAATACATTTATTTCTATTAAAATATTGAAATACATTTATTTCTATTAAAATATAATTAAGAAATGGTTGACATGTAAGCATTTTGCTAATACGGTATAAAATTTTAGCTACACTAACGGGTTGGTTCATGAAAATTTAAAAATAAAATTTTATTTTAAAGTTTTCATGCTTACATCACTATTTTTGCATAAGATCACTAATTATAACAAATTTTGTATTCATGTTTATACGATAGGGGTATTCTTATATGAAAATAGCTAACAATAACATTGATATTACATCAATATTTTAAACGACATCGTCTAAGTTCAAAAACATAGAATAGTTTATTAAACGAAAAATAAATCTTCAAATGCTTCAGTACTAAATTCTAAAAAGTACAATAAAAAAATTATTGCTTAAATATTTATTTGGAAGATTTTAGTTTTGCAACTCGATTAATAATATACATTTAACGACAAGATGCCAAAATTGATTTAAATTATTCATTGTAACAACAAATTTAAGTGGCAACTTTTTAAGTCACTAAGAGATATTTAAATTAAATCTTTATTAAACAATAAGATATTAAAGCACCACTGTTGAAAAAAATTATTTATAACAGTAAAATTAAAACGGGATATATAGCCGATGCTAGATTTCCCAAAATTACAAGTGATGAAATTTAATTTCTTTTTCGAATCAGCCGTGTAATGACATTCAATGCAATATTATAAGATTTTTAGATAAACTGAAAAATTTTGTCCCTAGTAACAAATTAGAGCTGTCCCAAGTAACTTCAGCTCAATTCAGTATTTTTTGGCGTTTTACTGAAAAATTTAGGTTTAATGTAAACAGAGATATTCCCTTAAAAATATAAAAATAAATAAACAAATAGATCAATCCAAAATTAAATCCTTCTATATTTTTCATTTTAGACAATAATTTTGAAGATTTCAATAAAAAGATATCGGAAATTATAAGTTTATTATAGGTTACATTATTTACATTTAATTTGAGAGTAATTAATCACATAATATAATTATTGTATTATTAATGATTTAAAAAGTAACACTATTTTAAAGTTAAAACAAAATTTAATGCTTTGAATAGAGTTTAATAATGGTATTTTTTTTATATTTTACAATAATAATCATTAACATACAATTTCAAAAATTGTAGGACAAATTGGATCATAACAAATTCTTTTAATTTTCAAAATAAAATTTGTGAAGGAAGTGCTAAATTTAGAAAACAATAATTTTAACAGCCAGTTTCTTGTTTACAACTTTTATTTCAAGTAAAGTATAACGCCGATCTGAATTCGGCTTCAGATTTTTAGTATCATATCTAGTTACTAAGGTAATTATTTATTATAATTTAATCGATTTACACTTTAAAATCGTCCTTAAAAATATTTGTCATTAAATTTAAAATTTTGTCATTTATTAAACTTTTTTTTATTATACTGCTATAACTATTTTATAAATGAACAAATCAAAATCAATTTTTTTATATAAATAATTTAGGTACTACTCTTTTTAGGGCATATATATTTTATAAATCTGACCATTGACCTGTCCACAAGTTAAAGATTCAAAATAGCATCTTTTGCACAAAATTTTCACTTTTTAAACTTGAGTTTTGATAATTATAATCTGGAAATACTTCATTCATTAAATTTATTATAAATTGAATTTATGTTATGTACTATAAGTTAAAAAAATCATTTATCACGACGAAATATTTTCTACGTGCAAATGATTGACGAAATTGAACAAAAAATGTAATATTCCTGTAAAAAATCACCTTCTATTAGATGTTATTCTGGTACTTAAAGCTGCCATAAATATTTAAAAAATTAATGTTACAATATAAAATTTTTATATAAACATCTTATGTATATTCAACTCATTTTTTTAAAAGTATGACTCTTTATTTTTCATATATTATACTTATAATTTAAAGAACACTAATCAGAAATAACGAAGGGAATAAAAATTCATTTTGCTTTTGGACGAATCTACTAATTTCATAAAATTAATTACTATCTACAGGTTTGCATTAAATTGATTTTTATGATAGTGATTTTAATCACTGTCAGATATCATTTATACTTATCCCAACTATGCCACGTCCACAATGGGCTACCATTTTTTAAATTAAATATTGTTATCTCACATTATCATTCCAATCCATTATACTATCTAAAATTAAAAAAAAATATATTAACTAGGTTCAAGTAGAACTATTTTATATTATGCATCATTAACATAATAAGTAAATTTATCAAGCATGCAATCTAAAGTCATTTATTAAAATATCTAAAATTTAACTTTATTTTGTTCTGTGTCATATTAAGGATTACCCTATAGTTATTTCATTCATTTTAAAGACTTAAAAATGAAAATTAAGATTAGTCATTAAATACAAATTTAGTACAAAATTAATTTTATTATAATATTTAATGATTTTCTATTTGTATTGGTGTTGGAGGCTCTTCATTTGTTGCTTTAAATTCCAATTCTAAATCCATAAAACAATGTATAAAACATAGAATTGATATTTTAATTAATATATTTAATTTTAAATATCTATTTCAGATGACTCATTTGTTCTTGGTATGAACATTTCTTTATTAATTGGATCAATTTTAAATCCAAGTTGAAAATATTTTTTAAAAATATGTAATTTTTAATTTTGTTTTATAAAAATTTAAAAAATTCTAATTGTACGCATTGGTTAATAATAGATTTATATACTTGAAGCCATTCTACCTATAAATAATTCGTATCAAACGATACATAACAACAATAGCCTTTAATTTTATCGATTAGAAAATAAATATATAATATTTAACGTGAAATTATATGTTGATATATCATCACGTGATAGAGTTTGTTTATGTAATTTGACAACAATATTTCCTATTATATCTAATACATAACTTATCTTGTAATATTGTTTGTAATAAGTATCCTCTGGGTTGTTATGCAATAAATCCAAAGCGTCCCTAGCTCTTTCGTTATTTTTGTCATTGGAACAATTAATTTTGATATTATGTTTATGAATTCTTCTGTGCTAGTGAATCCATTTATTAAGTATTTTTCTTCTTTAATTTTTTTTGGAAAATTTTTTTAACCTTGCTTATTACTGAACAAAAATTATTCATAACTTTTGCACCTGTAGTGCGAAATGCAGGTATTTCATTCTTTTCTTGAAGATAATATATTTCATTAAGATATGTTATACAATGCAATTCATTTAAACTTTTCCATCCTGAATACTGTAGTAATTTATCTAACTAAGCCAATGTGCCTTTTTTGGTAATTTTGCTTCTATATAAAAGAACACAGAAAATAATACAAAATGAAAATTTTTTATTAAAAAAAGTTTTAATAAAAGCATTTTAAAATAATTAATAGTAATTATGATTGAAATTTTTTTACAAAGTTTAAAGTGATTAAGTTACAAAATACAGTTATTTATTTTGTTCTTATTTATAAATAAAAAGTTAAACATTTATGATAAAACATCTGTTGTGTTATTATCATATTGTTTAAATTTTTTAATTTTGAAATTATTCAACTTATTAAACATAAATTTTCTTATAACATTATATATATCATTTTCTTATAAATTAATACCCATTAATTTTTTAAATAAATAATTAAAATAGTAATAATTGGATGATATTTTCACAATTCAAACTTAATGTTTTGACTTATTCATTTTGATTTACATGGTATTATTTTTATCTTATTTTTCAACTTATATCACTTAAGGAAAGAATAAATATAATTTTGAAACTTTTTTTGATTGCCTATAGTTACATATTTTTTTTTAATTATTAGCTATATAATAATTTTTTAAGAATATGCCATATTTTGAACTATTTTTAAATATACACATATAATAGTTTATAAAATTTCACAGTTTGTGAGAATTGAACTGATAAATGGTAGAATATGCTATGTTGAGATTAAAGATAAATCGTTTACCATACTGATAATCAACTGCTACGCTCCCACAGATGACAAAAATGAGGAAATAATAAATGCTTTTTACGAAGTACTGGATAGGATTTGCGATGCATAACCAACCAGAAAACCAAAAATAATTTTAG